GGGATATGGGCAGTGCTTCTGGGAGGTGCAGAGTACTTCCTTACACAACAGCTGCTCATAACTCTTGCTCAGCTCTTCCATTCCCAATGTAACTCTCAGTTTGGGATTATATCCCCATCACTCCACATCTCCATGTTTGATTTCTTCCCATCCCCAGAGAACAGACTCTGAGCTGTGTGGAATGGGGTCCCGAGGCTGCTGAGAGAGAGCCCTTCTGCTTCCTGTTCATCCTGGGAGGGTCCCACCTSCGGAGGAGGCGGCTGCAGGGAGACAGTTCCCTTTGGGATACAGTTTGGGACCAGGCTCACGCTCTGGGGTTTAGGCCAGAGTTTTACTCCGAGGAGCAAGACCAGCACCAGGGGGGAGTAATGGAGCGCCTGGCATCCTTCAGCAGTGAGTGCCATCAGATAATTCCACTCCCACATCTGACATAAAAAAAACAGCTACAATAGGATTTCTTGGAGCAGAGAGGTTTTGGAGTCACCATCCCTGGATATGCTGGGAAACTGTGTGGGTGTGGCACTTTGTGGTTTGGTGGTGGACAGGGCAGTGCTGGGTTAATGGCTGCACTCAATGGTCTCAGAGGGATTTTCCAACCCAAACAATTCAATGATTCCTTGACATTTGGGAAGGGTTTGCTATTGTTTAAAGCCATGGGGGAAGCAGAGAGAAAGCCAGCAGGATTTGGTCCACAGACTCACTTATTTGTACAAATTCTTCAGAGCACGGGGACACAAATGACTCAGCGTGAATTTTGTCTTAWTTCTCTCTACTTACAATTGAGCTGGTTCAAATCCATTTTCTTGGAAAAAAACTTAAAATTCCCGACTGATTTGAGTGGGAAGGGACCTTAAAACCCATCCAGTTACACGCCCTGCCATCATCCCAGGGTGCCCCAAGCCCTGTCCACCCTGGCCTTGGACACTTCCAGGGATGGGGCAGCCACAGCTSCTCTGGRCACCCTGTGCCAGGGCYTCCCCACCCTCWCAGGGAAGGATTAATTCCCAATATTCCATCTAACCCTGCTCTCTGTGAGTGTGAAGCTGTTAAACCTGARTCTGTTAATTTTATTGCACAGTTGAGTTCACATAAAATCCATAAAACCCTGATCTGGACCCACAAGAACCATCAGCTCCTGGGTAYGGTGAATGAGGGGGATTCCAAAGCTGTGCTGGTGTCACACGAGGTTCCCTTTTGCTTTCTCAGGTGACCCTTTTGATAAACCCCCATGTCGAGGCTGCTCATCATACCTGACAGAACCCTATGTGAARTGTGCTGAGTGTGGACCCCCTCCCTTCCTGCTGTGCCTGCAGGTGAGTGCCAGCAGCAGGACACAGCCCCTCCTGCCTCTAAAGCCAGCAAMGGTGCCAGCCTGCCCATGAGCACATCACAGCCTTTCTAAACTCAGATCAACACCCTTGTCAGCTCAGGGATGGGGAAATGACAGAGGGGGTTTGGAGGATGAAGGATTGAGGAGTGAGCAGGGAGAGGAGATCTTTGTGCAGCAGCCAGAGCCACCAAACTCACCTCACTCAGCCTGGCTGTGCCTCTGCATGTCTGGGGGAGTATCATTTCTGTCATCCACGGTGGCATGGAGGAGAAAATCCCATCCAAAAACTCCCCCACACCATTTTCCTGTCCGAAATAAAAAAGGAAAATCTGCAATATTGACAGTAATTGTTTGTGACCAGATGCAGTTCTTTAAAAATTACATGTGTGAGCTGGTAAGCACAGAAAGTACTGCTGGTATAATTATTACATTAATAAGTTTGTATGATTATGATTTAAAATTTGGCAGTAACCTCTAAAAGTGAAGGAAGAGCTGAGCCTTGTGCTCAGCAATGTACAATTGTGTATTGGGTGTATTTTTGCTCATTTACCTGTATTTTAAAAGCCAGAAATCTAACTGTTAAAAACAGCAGCAAACCTGGTGCTTTTTATCAGAAAACCAAGGTTAAAGGRAAACTTTGTATTCAATACTTATTAATTGCTCTGTGTTCTCTTCCTGGGAGGATTAATTTTTTTATAACACCAAACTTTTTCACCTTAATACTTAACAAAAAATTCTTGGATTCATGGGACCTCTATCTTGGGGCTAAAGACAGGCATGATACAAAGCTCTAACACAATTTTACGGGGTTTTATGGATTTTCTAAAATCAGGAAAATGGGATTTATCAGGTGGTCAGTTTTGGATAACCAGTGGTCAGGGAATAAAAGTTCAGAAAGGGCCTAATGAAAATATTTTCAAAGCAGAAATAACACAATTCTGACCTTTTGTTCTGCAGTGTTTCACCCGAGGATTTGAATACAAGAAACATCAAAGTGATCACACCTATGAGATAATGGTAAATATTCCTTTTGGATAACACCTGCTCAATGCTGGGCTCTCACCACTTCCCAGGAGTGAGACCCTTGCTTACTCATGCTACAYTGAAAGGTTAAGTGATGCAATTCTTTGATTCAAAGGTTTAAATCTATTTTTAAAAAGGAAAATATCCACCTGGAACATAATGGAGTAGTGGAGTCATTTAAAGCTGCATCTTTTTATTGTGCGTGGATAGCACAACACACCTCACAGTCCTTTAACCATGTAAATCAAATTCCAATTCTCTAGGCTTGTTCTTTTTCCTCAAAACTAATAATTYTTAAAGTCTTCAAAAATTTCTACTGTGTTTTAGAGCATAACATGGTGAAATTACAGCTGGAAGACACAACATGTACCAGTATTTGCTGTAGTTGGTGACCCAGTGCCCTAAGTAATCCAGTAATTATTCAATCAGGTTTTGTAGAAGTTTAAAACGAGCAGAATTATCTCCTGTGTGRTTCAGAACTTCTTTGCCCTTCCTGAGGTGGGTTGGAACAGAGGATCACAGCAGTTTGCTCTGCTTTTTCCTTTTCCAGACATCCGATTTCCCTGTCCTGGATCCCAACTGGACAGCTCAGGAGGAAATGTCTCTCCTGGAAGCTGTGATGGACTGTGGATTTGGGAACTGGTGAGAATTCAGTGGCTCAGCCAATTTCAGTGAATGATGGGCAGTTCTTCCTTTTCCCTGGATCTCACTGTTGAATACATCATTGACTGTTCAATGACTTACTGTGGGTGAGACACTGACTGAGCAGCTAAGGGCTTCCAGGTCCTGTTTGCATGAGTTATCTGTCTTCTCCTTTTTTCAAAATAGTTGTGTTAGAAATACAGAGCCCCAGAATTCACAGAAGCAGAATTGAGAGTTCTTTGGTGCACGTTGCTGTTAGACAGAAGTAAGAATGGAAACTGGTTTCAGGATTTCCCATTACCTGGAGTCAGTAAAGTGTGCAAAAAGCTGTCAAATAATAACAGGGAATTTTCAAAGATGTGGTGCATTCCATCAGTCAGAGGGTTTCCCATATGGAAACTGAATTACATAGTTCATGGGCACCCAGAAGGTGCTCCCTGGCTCTGGTGAGTGTTGGTTCTGACAGTGTGAGTTCAGACACCACCACAGGCCACTTCTGTGCACAAAACACAACCAATTTCTTCTCCAAAATTATCTTTCCCCCCTGGAGAAATTTTAAAAAAGCCATTTCTGTGTGGTTCACATGAATCYTCCCCCTGTTCCCACTCCAGGCAGGACGTGGCCAACCAGATGTGCACCAAATCCAAGGAGGAGTGTGAGAAGCACTACATGAAACACTTCATCAACAACCCCCTGTTTGCATCCACCCTGCTGAACCTGAAGCAGGCAGAGGAGGCTCAGCACAACGAGACAGCCATTCCTTTCCACTGTGAGTATCCCTGCCCTGCACTCTCAGGAATGTCCCTGCATTGGGTTAAATCCACCCCAAAGCTCCTTCTCTCACTCTGTGAAGCCTCTGCACACAAAGTTGACAGAGCAGGAATTTCTGCCTTTGAACATTTCCCCTGATCATTACTGTGCACACACTGTGTCCCAGGCCTAACTGCTGATTTAATTTGTCAGAAAATCACTCCTTTCAACTACGCTGATTTCACACCTCTCCCTTGAAAACTGCCTGTTAGAAAAGTCTGAGCTAAATTGCAGCAAGTTAACAAATTCTCAGTTTTCCTTGCATTTCACATCTTTAACATTCCCCCAGTCTGGCAGCTGTTCCACTCCACAGCTCCCCATCCTCTCTGGGTGAGGCAGCTGCTGGGTGTCTGGAGGTTTACATTTCCCAGCAAAGTGCTTAGAGCCAAACAGTAGGAACTGGGCAATTTTGGTTCTGTCCCTGGCTGGATTGAGTTTTTTTATGTGCCCTGGGCCAAGACAAACTCAGAGTGCCTCAGCTGGCTTTATCTGCACCCTGGGACACACAAAGCTCAGCTCCTGCACAAGGGCCTACTGAGCTTCAGACTATTATTGTCTGTAAAACACTGAGCTCCTGGGCTGGGAAGTGCTGTAAAAACAGGAGTTCTCTGCCTTTAATTGCAGCTCTGTCAATGGCCCCCAGAAGAAGGCAGATTTAACACTCCTGTTGCTATTAACTAAAAGAACCTGCACGCTGAGCYCCAGGGATCTGCAGAGGTTTAGAGGGGGATGCTGAGCTCCAAAATGTAAAGCTTACATTTTATTACCTGTTTATTGCCTTGAATTTGTGTTTGACTCTTGAGAATACTACAAAGATATCAGATTACTGCATTTTTCTCTGGATGAACTCTCTTTTCTGACTATAACACTGAATAAAAGCCCAATCAGGATATTTTTCTTCAACTAATTGTTCCCACTTTTCCTGCAAAATAAACACTTATTTACAGATCTTTAAAAAGGTGATCCCAAGCCCTACACAACAACTAAAACCCTTTGTWTTTTTCAGCTGCTGATGATCCCCCACGGCCCACCTTTGATTCCCTGCTCTCCAGGGACATGGCTGGGTACATGCCAGCCAGAGCTGACTTTGTTGAGGTAAGACTGACTCTGCTCCCGTTATTTTCAGTTTGTTTCTGAGTGCAAGCTCAGCCCACACCCCCTGTTTGCTCCTGCCTGTCTTTGGTTTTTATTCAAAAACATCAGAGGAGGGCACAGGACTGAGGGATGCTCTTAGTCCTGTGGKTTAATTTAAGGTTATCCTGCGAGGAGCAGGGAGTTGGACTCTCTGATCCTTATGGATCCCTTCCAAGTTGAGCTATTCTGTGATTAAACCTCTGGATTAATTAAGGATTTGATGACAGAGGTGGCGCTGGTGGCCTGCAGAGGAGAAGCAGCAGAGAGGCTGCAGGAGGTGCTGTTCTGCTGCCACCCTGTCACCAGATGTCCAGCCAGGGGTGGCCCTGGGGAGCAGGCTGGGTGCTGCCAGTTGGGTGCTCCAGCTCCAGCAATGCCCCCTGCCCTAGGGGAGCACACTCAGCTCTGCTCCAGACACCACTTGGGACACCTGCACTGTTTGCTGTGCTTTGAGATGGGGGCCACAGTCCCAGTTCCTGCTGCTGCAGGAGGAGTGAGTTCAGCCATGCAGGAACTTGGACATCTGAGCAGAATCTGCACAGGGCCACCCCAAGAATCCCACCCTGGGCCTGGAYAAGGCTCTCCTGGGGTGTCCTGAGCCAGACCCTTGTGGGCCCCACCCTGGCTCCAATTTCCATCCCAGTGAGGGGGTCATTACCTGATWAATGCCCACAGTCCTGTCCCAGAGYCCTGYTGCAGCTGCAGCCATGGGGGTGCATTTACAGACCCCAAGCAGAGCTCCCCTGGGGTGTTTGCTGCTCAAGGATGGAGCTTTGTGCCTCTCCATGAGTAAATATCTCTGTTCCCAGTCCTTCTGCATGCCCTGAAACCTCAGGCCAATATTTTAGTGCTAGTTAGTGACAATGTATTAATCACCTCTGWACAGGAGTTTGACAACTATGCTGAGTGGGATTTGAGAGATATTGATTTTGTAGAAGATGATTCAGACATTTTGCACGGTAAGTGCCATATTTTTGTACCCAGAAACAGGGTTTAGGATGCCTGTACAACCTTCCATTGAGTCTCTTTCTCCACACACTTTAAAAGTGAACATACACTTTTAATATTTGGTTTTTTAATGTATTCTGTGTGTCAGGGTAGGTATTAATGCATGCAGCAAGAGGATGTGTTGTGTAAGACTATGTGAGAKCCATTAAAAGTGTTGGACCCTTGAAGCTGTGTGATTTTCCATGTTCTGAGTTAGAACAGCATCATCTCTGTGTGACAACTTCCTTCTTGTTGTGAAGAAGGTTGTATAGGCCAAGATACTGCTCTGAGTTTCTGTGAATGTGGCTGCCTTAATAAAATGGAATAACAGGAATTATTAAAGTGACATTTTAATCCACAGAGAGGAAAAGATCCTGCTTTTCCCCACGTTTGTAAGTACAGGCAGGGTTTAAAAGTCCTGTGTTTATGCCTCAGAATTCTGCCATCTGTGTCAGGCAGTTCTAAGCTAAAGCCTTTGCATCCCTTGGAGACAGACAAATCCTTTTACGTACAGACAGTCTTGGCAGAGTTAAAAAAGCCAGTTTGAAGTGAAGCAGGAGCTGTAGGAATGCAAACTCCCCAGGCCCAGGGAAGGTTATGAGAGTCGTATGTCAGCCTCTCCCCTTTCAGCATTTATTGARAGGGGGCCTGGCTGGAGGCCATGGCAGGGATTCCTCGTGCCAGCTCTCTGCTGTTTCATCCTCTTCTGGGTCCTGGTGAGCTGAAAAAGCAAAATAATCTCCTACTTGTGCACATTAATTGACAGATTCATGTTCAGTCCAGCAGGTTGAGCAGCACTCCCCCATCCCCTTCTCCCAGGCACAGTTCAGCCATTTGAGGTCTCTCCTGCCAGGGCCCCAAGCTCCAGGAGTTCTGCTGACTCCTGCAGGAGCTGGATCTGTTTGTGCTCCTGTTTGTGCTCCTGTTTGTACTCCTGTTTGTGCTCCTGTACATCCTGCACCAGGGACTCCCACAATCGAGTTAAGAGTTCACAATTTAATTACCTGTTGTGTGAAAAAATACTTCCCCCCGCCTGTCCAATCTTCTGCCTGGTAATTTCATTGGATGTTCTGATGCTCTCTGCTCCATCCTTCAGTTGTCTGGGTGTTTGGGAGGGGATGGCAGGCGTTTGCTGTGCTTGGCAGAGGCTGTGCCAGCTGAATTTTGTGGTTTTGAGTCCAGCAACTCTGGCATCTGCCTGCCCACAGCTGTCCCAGCTCTGCCCACGTGAGAGAGAAATCCTCACAAAAATCGAGTCCCAGRGTCCAGCCAGCTGTTTGCCTCTCACATCAGGCATCTTGGGGAGGGAAAGAACTCTTTGCTAAAAAAAATTTGGAATGAGATCTTTCCCTCCTGTGATTTAATACAAAAAAAAAGGAAGGAGCCACATCCTCCCCGTCCTGCAGTTTTAAAGGTTTCAGCTGCTGACTTTGCTTGAGAGAATTTTGCAACCCAATTGGAGGAGCCCAGGGTGCAGAAAATGGTTCAACATGTGGGTCTGAGAGCAGGGCTGGTTCCAGGAGCCTCTGTAGCTGTCAGGCAGGGAGGGCTGTGAGGTGAGGATGTAACCCAGGGGTTTAACTTTTATAGYCCTGAGAAACCCAGATGGGGCCTCACAGCAGAGACTGAGGATCAGGCTGAGGAAAAAAAATCCCTTCTTTGTTTTCCTGCCATACATTAAACCTCACTGGGCTCAAGATTCATTTTTGAGAACTACTTTCATATTCCATTTTCTGCAAGTCACTCAGGCTGGGTCCTGGGAACAGGGTCAGTACAATTTCTGGGGTCTCTGTTTTTTTTCTCTTGGTTCAGCAGTCACAGATCAGCTGCAATGTCGAGGTTGTACATCCCACAGGAATATTTGTGCTTCCACTGAAGTGGAATTCCCCCTGTTCCCTTTCTTCCACATTTTCTTAAGTATTTTGTAAAAATATTTTGTAAAAATATTTTGTAAAAAGATTTCTTAATATTTTGTAAATTTTTTTCTTAATATTTTGTAAAAATTATAAGTTCTAGATCTGAGCTTCTTGACCTCTGTTTTCTGATGTATTATATCTTTTATATGATATATTTATAGATTTATCTCATATATTCTCCCTGTTATATTTCCCTGTGTCACTCTAAACAAATTCTTCGTATTTCCACAAGAAAATGCTTTTTAATGCAAGGTGGGAAGACTCCCAGGCAGCTTTTATGAGGAACACAGAAYCTGTACCTGCTTCCTCACCAGCCCTTCCCACCTCCCAGGGGGTCACAGACATCACTTCTTGGTGTTAGTGAGATGGCAAAAATGGTATGAAACCTCTCATGTTTCAATTAAATTCTGGAATTGTTCTCTTTTGTTCCGTGCTGGCAGTACAGTAAGGGCAGGCAAATACATATTGCAGTTACACAAAAACATAATGGACAGATCAAAAGCACCAACTAGTTACAACCCTAATTCRGCCCACAGTGCTTGAATATTTCATGAACTACAAGTTTTCATCAGGCTGAATTAGAACATTGGTAATTTATCTTTTTCCCAGCTTTTTTTTTTCCCCCTTCTCATGTAAATGATTTTYACTTCTAACACTGCGAAGTAATTGCTGAAACCACAGATTTGGAACTGCAACTGGCAGGGAAATTTGATTTGAAGCTGCAAGGCAGTRAGTGTCCTTCTCGACAGAACATGGTGTTTGTTCTCCTGCTCCAGAAGCACAGCTCTRTTTGCCACAGCTCCTTCTTCCCTCCAGGATGGGGGGATTTGGCCTGCAGCCCTCCAGGCTGTCCCAAACCCAGCACACACTGGTCACACAGGCTGTTTACTGGGATTAGTTTGCATTCTTCCCATTATCTGAGCCTGGCCTGCCAAGGCAGGTTGGCTCCCATGGAACAAAGCTCTCACTCATTAACGCTCAACAAAGTTTTCTGCAGACCAAATGAGGCTGAAGAGGAATGAAAAGCAAAGAAACTGTTTTGAACACACTYTGGAGAAACCAAAATATTTGGGGTTTTTGTGGAACGGAGGAAGGAGCCTTGAATTCTTGCCTATCAGCAGGTCCTTCAGAGCACCAGGAGCCTTATCAGTGCCCAAAATGGTCACTGTAAACCCAGATTATCTCCCATTTCCAGGACAAACACCTGCCTCCCTGCTAGAATCCGTGGGGAAAGCACAGGCAGATCATTCTCATTCCCCCAGCATCCCCTCTCTCATTTCCATGCACTGTGGAACCGTGTAGTAGTCGCAGTTATTCATGCATTGCACATTTGGTAATCGCCTGGTCCTGGGTGAATGTGGCTCTTAAAAAACAAAAGCCCCCCCAAAAGGCCGTGTGGCACCAAATACTAATTTCACTGGCAGCAAAAGCTCCATTTTTTCCCTTCATTTATTTCCTCCTCTCCCCAGCTGATCATCATTTCTTTAGAATATCGTGCACTCAGGTGAAAGCATCAAAACCCAGTGGTTAGAGGTGCATAATTACTTGTGATATTTATAGAGGTTCTCCAGTGCAGTTTCTGCATGTACTTATTAAGTCCTGCCCACACAAACCCCAGAAAATAACAAGTTGGCTGAGTTTGCAGAGGGCTTAAAAAAACTACAAAAATATTTTCCGTAAATTGGCACCAATTCCAACCCTTCCTAATGGATTTCATTCATGTTTAACTTGCTGCATTCCCAATTTCTCGTCCCCAYATTTTAGCACAAAGGAGAATTTGCTATCTCTGCATGCTCTTAAATGAAGAAAACCTAAATACTTGTTATGAAAATACACAGTGATGCTTGAAAATGCAAGAGATTTGGAACAGTAAGTGGGAATATTGCAGCACCCCTCCTATCTCATACAGAATCCTTTACCCTTAGATTAACATCAAATCAATTTGGTACAAACTGAAGGGTTTTTTTTTCTTGGGATCAAGCTCCTGAGAGAATCCCCACAGCCTTTGGGTTCAGCTGTCCCTGTTTGTATGAAATTTGATTACCCAGAGGGATGCAGGGATGAATTTCCCAGAGGCTGGGGGCTTCCTGGTGTTTACACCTCCATACATATTTAAAACAGACACATAACCACGCTTCTTAATTGCATTTTTAATTATTTATCAGAGTGCAATCAATAAACTGCCACTATCAATTTTGCTCTTTTTGTGTAAATACAGAGAGAGGTGAATCCTGGGTTCTGACCCCCCTGGGCCACCCCAGTTCCCCTTTTTCCAGGAGCTGGTTGTTGTCTCACAGCCTCTAAACCACTGCCAAACCTTGAGCCTCTTCCTTCTGAGAGCACATGGRAATTATTAACATAAAATTAAAAAACCCACCCCAAAATCAGCCACCTCTACACTCATTTAATGACCTAGAATTCGCGTGTTACCTAACAGAGCGAGGGAAGGGAAGGTGATGGGTGTCTCTTTATCTTGACTTTCAAGAATTTACCCCCAAAAAAAAAATTTATTAAGCTAATGGCTGTAGGAAAAAGGAGCTGCATGCTCTGTGAAGGTTTGATTTGGGGAAGGATGTGATTTCTAATGAGCCTGGCTTTTTCCTGGGCTTCTTCACATTGTCCTGAACTGTTCTTTGTTCTCCTGGCAGACAGATAAGTTTGGAAGTTAACAAGCTGGAATCTTCCAGATGTTTTTAACAACTGTAGCAAGGGCTACTTTGAATCCTCACAGTTCAGAGCTGTRCCTGATTTTTGGAGTTCCTTGTTCTGTGCAAAGAAATCTGCCCAAAGCTGATTCCTCCGATCCTTAAATCTGTTTTTCAGGAGAAGGAATACTCAGCAATTGCCTGTGTGAAGGAACAAATGAGTGCTGGCRGTAAAACAGTGCAAGAAGGAAGAGSACAGGAGWTGTCAGGGTCTGCCCAGGTTCATGTTTGCAGGGATGTATTTGCAGTGATGAATTTGGCAGGAGAAACCCTCCACAGGTAGCAGATGCTGCAGGTTTGTCTGCAGTGAGTTGATGCCCCTGTAAAATTGCCTCAGGATTTTTAACTCAGCAAAGCAGGGACCATTTCAGCCTAATGTGAACGCAAAAAGCTTGAAATTCAGCCTCCTGCAGTGATTGCTTATGAATTCTTTAATCTTTTTGTTTTGCAGCTCTGAAGATTGCAGTTGTAGATATCTATCATTCCAGGTTAAAGGAAAGGCAGAGACGGAAAAAGTGAGTTTTCAAGCAGGAACTGTGTTCTTTCCTTCCCTGAGCAATGCTGATGCATTGCACATCATTAATTTCCTACTTCAGGGGAAAAAAAAAAAAAAAAAAAAAAACTAGACTGTGAGTGATTGCTGGACCCCCACTTTTCCCCCAGAAATATTTGCATCATTATTTTTAATTCCTAGTGATCCCTAAGTTAGTTTCCACACTGAAGATAACTCTATTGCTGACGTGGGGTTGAATAATTTATTCAGCTCATTTGACAGTGTTCTAGAATGACTCAATCTAATAATTAAATTAAATTTTATTATAACTTTGAAATACTTTGTTCAATATTTAAAATTATATCTTGCTGGATTACTCCCTGCTGAAAGAATCAGTGATTTAAAGTGAGACTGCTCCAGTCCTTCTCCTCATAAAACGACTCAGTTCTGCTGAATGACAGGGAGGATTGACCTCTTTATAATTCATAAATAAAAAGTATTTATGTGGTGTCATTTCCATGATGATCAATCTTGTCATACTCAAGGAAATTGCTGCAGGGCTCTTCATGACTCTTGAGGTTACCTCAGTGTTAGGTTTTGTGAAGTTTCTACAGCAGAATGGGACAAAAGCTTGGAAAATGGCACAGAAGTGTTGATGTCACTCACAGAAATGTGACTGTGCACGGGACAGGAAGGTTTTGTGCACAGCAGAGGAAATGTGATGGATTTTGTGGAGCAGGTTCTGAGCTGACCTTGCCAGTCCAGCTCTGTGCTGATTTGCCCAAGTGGAGTCACCCCAGAGCAATGAGCACGTGGCACTGCTGAAGCTGGTGACAATGTGTTTATCAGGCACCTGCTTTTCCCTCTGCTCCTTCTCTGATCCTCAAACCCAGAGTTACCTCCATCACCTCCTTAAAACCCAAGCTGCCATGGGAAAATGCCTTAATCCTGTTCCAATGGTGGCATTTACAGTCCAGTGTGTGCTTTAGCAGAGGGGTGTTTGTCTCTCTCTGAGGCTGGAAATCACGTTCCTGAGACATTCATTACCCCTGATTTTAGAAGAACAAGTTATAAGATCCTGTAGATGTGAAATTTGTGCCTGAAGAAGCAATTTCCAGCCTTTAAAGTGATTGCAGCTCTCTTTGTGCTCAGGGCTAATGCACACCACTGTCCAAAATTTACCCTGATTAAAGCCACCCTGCCTCATGTTTCCATCCCAGCCAGCCCAGGGCTTACGGAAATTCCAGTCATGTTTAGTTTTAGGCTCCTCTGATGGTCTAAATCAAAGTTTCTYCTGAAGCCTTTGTATTTGTGAGGCAATGCAGGAGTAATGGCTTGTATTAATATAATTTTCTTTCATTTCCAGAATTATAAGAGATCATGGCCTGATCAACCTCAGAAAATTTCAGAGTGAGTATCAGGTGTGACTGCTTCACTTCAAAGTGGCAAAACTTCACCCATTCACCGTTTCCAGGTCACCAGTGTGGTTTATTCATACTGGAACACATTCAGATGTTCTAAATTCCTGCTGATTTCCTGCCCCAGCTGTTTTCAGCTGTCTGGTTCTGACTATTCCCAGCTCAGTGTTTCAGTTATTGCCTCAAAACTGCTCCTCAGAAGCATTTTGGGCTCTGCTGAGTGGGGAGAGGGGAGAAGGTGAAATCCAGGCCTTTTGAGTGCACCTCACTCTGGTGAGAAATGACCAAACCACATTTAAATATCACCCTTGACTCTTTTAGGCTTTTAAGAGCTGGATGATTTTGTTGCTTTTTACTCTGCAGTTTGTAACTGTGACACCAAAAGGGGCAAGAATGACCAGATGTGGGGTTTTTAGGCAGTTCCAAGGCTGGAACTCACTGCAGCCCCCTTGGAGGTGTTTTTTCCTGGCAGCAGCAGTGCTCACATGTGGCACTTTTTCCCCTCACAGTTCTGGAAAGGCGTTACCCCAAGGAAGTTCAGGAGCTCTACGAGACCATGAGAAGGTTTGCYCGGATCCTGGGGCCCGTGGAGCACGACAAGTTCATCGAGAGCCACGCTCGTGAGTACAGCCAGGCTCTGCTTCCTAAACACATCCCTCTGCTCCAGGGCAGCAGGTTGTTTTCCTCCTCCTCCCCCATCCAGCTACCTCAGGAAAACAAATACATTTGTGGTTTGAAACACTGAGTGGGTTTTTTCCACTAAACTSTGGCCGAGCTCTCTGTTTGAGTTCGCAGCTGACTGAGCATTCTGCTCATGKGTTAGAGGTGATATTTTTTTTCATCTAAAGACCACTTCTTATTTACTGGGACTCTGTGCCAGGGGAAGAATAAAATCTCTATATTACATCTGTGTGGAGAGGTTGGGAGCTGGCAGCAAAGTGTGAATTCTTTGAAAGACCGATGTTAATTATTACATGTCCAATAATTATACAGTGCAGTGGTCATTATGTCCTTACCTTAGGGGAGAGGCATTGTTCCTTCCCTGAATCACCCCACAGCCTGCATTTAGGCAGATTCCAGTCCGAGTCACCACATCCTGCTGCATTCTGTGACTTAAACTGGGAGAATTCTTGCTCATCACAAAGAACAAAGCGCTTTGATGCAAACACAGYTGTATCCGTGTTTTCAGGACACCCTGTGTGAAATACCAAAAGCATGATCCTGAAAAATCATGAGTCCCACATGAGAATGCTGCTCCTGGAACCTGGTTTTGTTGTTGTAGTGGCAGCTGATCCTCAGGTGAACCTGGCAGTCATGTGCAGGCACTACACAGATCCCCTGAGCAGCARCAGGAAGCAAATCCACAAGGAAACCTGCTCCCTGTAAAACTGAGCAGTGCTGGAAGGCTGATGAAAGCAGCAGACAGGAAATATCTCTGAGCAAAAGAAACATTTTAATAATTTCATCTTACTGACTGCAGGAAAAGAGTTGTCTGCAAGGAAAAAATTTRGAAGGTCCAGTTAGGAAAATCATAGTTCCAAGAGAATATTAGATGGATGAGGAGCCTGGCTGCAGGAGTTGCTCAGACCTTGAAATGCCTTCCAGAAATCCCACATTATTGTTATTTGCTAGGATGTGGCAAAGGGACTATCAAAGCATAAAGAGAAATTCCCTTTTCTGAGCACACAAATATTGGAAAGCCACTGAAATCTGACCAAGGAGCACTGGGGGACACACAGAGCTTGAGATCTTGTGGAGAGAGGTTAACCCAGACTGTGGTTTGTGTGTTCAGAGCTGACCTGTGCAGGCAAAGARCAAACAGCCACATTCCCAGGCCACCCCACTGACCCACTTTTGCTTTTTTGGTTTTGCCTCCTGCCAACTGACGGGGTCCAACAGTGGAATTTGAGCTGCGCAGGGAAATAAAGAGACTCCAGGAATACAGAGCAGCAGGAATCACCAATTTCTGCAGTAAGTACCTGATGCATTATTCAGCCCATTCCCATCCATCAAGGAAGGGAAAGATGATTTTACAGCGTTYAGGATGTGTTGAATAAAAAGACACTTAGTTCTGAGAGGCATTTGCCTGGCTTTGGAGCTGAGCAGGGCTTCAGCAAGGATTCACAGTCCAGCTGTGACTGACTGGAGCCATCAGCTCAGGGGTCACAGTGTCTAACACAGCCCTGCTCTGATCACCACTTTGCAARAGCTTCAGAAAAAATATTTCTGTCATGGCACAGTGGTCTGAGGGCTTTACTCCAGGCATTTGGACTGGCTGTCAACATGTGTGATATCTGGAGAGAGGCCTGAAACCTCCACATCGATGAAATGGCCTATTTGATCCTGAAATTCAATCATGGAAGCCTTTTTTTATTTGTTTTTGGCCTGAAATTAGTGGGGGGAAGGGTTCTGGGTAGAATCTAATCCCTTCTGGTGCCAGGTAGTCATCACGAGGGAGAGCAGCAGAGCTTGGGCCAGAGATAGAAAACTTCCCAATGCTTCCTGAAGCAGGAAAARCCAATGTGGACATTTTGGGTGAGGCAGAGGTGAGAACAGGGGGTGTKTTTGTGCCACAGGTGCCCGGACCTACGACCACCTGAAGAAGAGCCGGGACGAGGAGCGGCTGAAGCGCACGATGCTCTCCGAGGTGCTGCAGTACATCCAGGACAGCAGCGCCTGCCAGCAGTGGCTCAGCCGCCAGGCAGACATGTGAGCATGGCCAGGGGTGTCCAGGGA